TACACTCTAACCCGCTACCTAGGAACTTTACACTGCCTCATCGCGAGGTCTGCCTTGGAGGGGCATACACAGGGGGCCAAAAAAACTTTTTTCTTCCTCGACTTTCGAGGCGCTATAAGTTACACTTTATTAAATTCTTATCGGACATTTCTACCACCATATTAAAGAGCATATCAAATATGATACTCCGCCACAGCCTTCTGGAGGAGCGCCATCGAGAGATTCTGCCACGCGACCGTCAGTGGGTGCGTGAGTTCAGCGAGATCGTTGATTTCTCCGCCACTGTAGACCACCCTATTGAACTCCGCCCGAACCAGGTAATTGAGGGGTTTAGGTCAGGTGACCTGCTTAGATATTCCACCTTCTTCAGGTACTCAACGCCCTTCCATTCCAAGTAGGCAAGAGTTTTCCCAACGCCCCTTTGATTCCCTTCTTCTCGAGTTGCTCGATGTAACCGCCAGCGCTCACCTTCAGTCCGGGGCCCACGAAGAAAATATCGGTCTCTCCATTCCAGGTACGTCCGGTCCCCACCATCAACTGGCGCCTTGGCGACTGAGGTGAAGATGATGTCCTAGACCGTAGCGACGTTGTCGGAGCTGCTCGATGTTGGAGGTCTTCCAGATCGAGAGTACTGGTCTCCAGGTAGCTATCCATGGGTGACTCCATACTAGAAGTTTCGCAGCTGTTTGGAGGTGACATGAATTCCGAAGGTCTTTCCAGTTGACTTCATATTTTGGTGTACATGAAGGTGATGGGCGAGAGCCAGCTCCTGCTTATAGAGGAACATCTTGGGTATCTTCCGCCCTGGTACTCGTATCCACGTCTTCTGTCTGGGCTGCGAAAACTTTGCTGACCAGTAAGAACTCCCTTCCAAGGGAAACAAAAAAGTCCATTTTCAGTTGTACTTAGTTTAAGTTAGAGTTGTTAATTTAACTAACAGTATTACATTAAAGTTGTTAGTTCAGAAGCTTGTTTGTGAGCAAGTTAATGTGGCGGGTCAGAAACTGAATTGTTAGGGGTAGGGGCTAACTAACATCCTAAAATTCAGTTTCCGATTCCATGCTTGTTCTCGTCTTATAGTGACGTTTTCCTTAGCGTCATCCGCCACTGAATTTGATTTATCGAGTTAATGGTGAGTTACCCAGGCAGAGGACCCCTACAAGTGGTGAACATTTGGCTCTTTCGTCGATTTTTTTATTCTTCTAGCAAAGTTCTGACCGGAGAACTTTCTACCTATTCTGACGATCCTCTGTTTCTCAGTTTAGCGTTAGGTAAGATCGTAGTTTTGATTCGATTTTGAACTTAAGTGTTGTAAAAGCGCACCTCTGCGTGCACACAAATAAATAAATAAATTGTTCACTTAGTTGATTATGTTCGTAAGAGGTCGACGCCTGAGATACGTATTGCCTATTTTTACGCCATTATTCGTAGAGTGGGCCCCCTTTAAGCCTAGGCACCACCAAAATGCGACAATCGGCATTGCTCGAACATTTGTGGTCGAGTGCGGTGGGTCGTGCCACCCGCTTTCAAGGATGAAATAGAGAAAAGAAGTTGTAGAAAAAGTCATAGCTATAGTTTGAATGAGTTGGAAAGCAGAAGAGATTCGAAATTCGTTTCAATTGCTATTATTATCCCATGCTCTCAGCTCTATGTACCATGCAGTAACTCTGGTCTGCCATTTTTTTCTGTAATGCAGACGATCACCCTCCCCCCGCCCCTTACCCTAACTCGCACCTCAGAAAGTTGGATTTCAGGAAAGCAGGATGAACATGCGGTCAACGCGCCACTAAAAGAGCAGAGTTCCTCGCTCGGAGTTTTCCGCTTCACGCAAGTGAGGGGGAAGTGCTGCGCACTCCGTCGGCTGTCGAAGGCAGGGACGCAGCCGCATTTGTCAAGGTCTTGGGGACCAGGTAGGCCGGACAAGCCATGCATTTGAAGTTAACCGCTTGACCAGATCTATTACCGACTGTATTCAGTGGGGTGTCAAACGATGGCCTAGGCATTGTCAGACCTTTTCATGGAGGCTCTGAAAGAACGGCATTATGTTCGTCGTGTTCTTCGAGCACAGGGCAACTATAGAGCGTTGCAGGAACTAATAGAGACGTTGCTGGCGTCTCCATACGTCCCTGCAATGTTCGAGAGTTCTGCCTGAGCACTTCCATGATTGACAGAAGTACAGGTGTTACAGGTGATATATGCATGACTAATTGCAACGAAATCAGCTATAAGAGGGCAAACTTCATTCCAAGACACACAGGGAGTTTTATGAAGTGCGGAAGAAAGGCACATGTTCAACGCATCAGTGACTTAATAGAACAAAGATAATCAATGCAGTTTGAAAAGGATGGATTCACTTAAATTTAGACTAACAAGAAACACTTCCACAACTAGTGAACACTCTCATGGATATCAAGTAATGACATACATACAATCAATGATGAGCATGTACTCAAAACAACCGGTAGTATTCTACTATTACTACCCCAAACTACCGAATATAGTCCAGTATTTTTTACCGACTTTTTTCTATTGGGAAACATTTGGCGGAAACCTGTCCCGAGAGCCACTTCGATTCCTGAACACGAATATCACTGACCCCAACTCCCCACTTGACCTAATACCTGGCGCCTGCACCACAGGCGCCAAGATCCTCTACATGAAATCCGCTCAACACTTGTGTGTGGGGGTTATTTGACATCTTCATTATGAATATGACACTCACTGTTAGAGCTGGAACAATGGAGGGCACTACAATCATCTGTGCTCTGCTAAGGCTGAGCTTGGCCTAAAGGGCAACACTCCTTCTCCCACGCTTAGCAGGGCGCTAAATGGCGCTGGTGTTCAATAGATTTTCATGAAAAACTGCGCCTAGGGTGCCAGGGCTCAAAATGAATGTTTTCATGAATCAAATAAGCCCAACATGCGAGTTCGCAGCATTTTGGCGGAAAAGAGATGGCGTCAAATGGCACCAGCGTCAGAAACGGATGTCATATCGTGGTCAGGACATCGACGTTACGGGCAAAAACTTCACCAAAAACTTTTTTTTAATTTCTGGGGTAGTAAAGGCCGTACAGGGCAGGATAATCTTGCCCTGCAGTACATCCAAACCTAGTGAAGGGTATCACAGGACAAAGCTTCAAACAACGGTCGAAGTGCGGCAAATCGCTACTTTATTATTACGAACAATTCAACAGTAGCGAATTCAGTTCTGCTTGGAGATGAGGTCGCTTAGTCCGAATTTGAAACGATGATCGATTTCTCGGAATTTCTGCATGAAGCGCTCCTTTTGCAGCGTGAAGCTCCATCCTTCTCTTTGTGTACAGACGAGCAGCTAAACATCAGAGAGAGATAAGCAGAACTTTAAGCACACTGATTCTAATTAGGGGCTGAAGGAGCTAGGGGGACGGGCGTCTGCACGATTTAGCCACGCACTTTTCTGCTCATCTCCGTTCTCCTATCGACACAGCGACTCCATCACTTGGTAGTTTCAGCTGCAGAGAGCACAGACGAACAGAGTGGGCAAAGCCTTTTCTCATGCGTTCGTTTTCCTCCCCCAACTCGTTTAGCCTTTCCGCCAAGTATTCACTTCGGGAACCTACCCGTTGTAAGTTATTGTATCGAAGGAGAAAACACGATGTGAAATGCTCTCTGTATTTTGAAAGGAGGTGTTCTTCATTTGCTATACTATCTCTTGAGCATAGAATATTCACTGTGACCACACCTGAAGAACACTATCACTGGCCTTTTCCATCCTCCCGCTTTTCAAAATAACATTGGTTTATCGTGGCCTCACCTGTCAGGCTTCACATACATGTGAATTGCGCCAGAAGGTTCTGCTTCACTTACCATGTTTATCGAGTACCTTTGCCATATCCTGTATTACCCTAGGTTTCATAAACTCTTCCGCCGGGCAGATTATCGACTGCTTGCCATGATTGCAGGCGTCAAGAATGAGTGACTTATATTTTTCGCCTGAACAAGAGGACCCATGATTCGCGTTCTTCAATATACCTAGCTCTTGACTGATTATTTTCAGACATCTGGAGGAAACTAAGCATGGAGTTGTAAACGTATCCAGATGCTGCTATTCTGAAAACATCAAAATAGTCAGTGGAAAATTCATGGTCAACTTAAGCGATGGTCTTAATGAGGGAAAATTCAAGTGCCAGCAGGTGTGGGCTAGTAAACACCAGATGAATACCTGGAGTTCACACCAAATGAGCTGGCATCAAGAGCAACAAATAATGGCCTGATTCCTGCAACGGCAATTTTGCTGGCTGATGACAGATGGGTAGATACTTTTTCTGAAGGAATCGGTCTGCGATCAAGTATGGAAGTTGAATGGAGTTTAGTGTAGGCCGCAGCGAACAACTTTGTGGCGAAAAATTGTATGGGAGGGGCGCTAGAGCGCAACATAGGCTCAGCGACGCTTCCTTTTACCCAGTGACTCCACCTCCAGACCCCTCCATCGTCTTTCAGTGAAAAACGAAGCTGCAGGATGAAAAAACATGAAAATCGCCACTTGTGCGGTCGTGGACTTCTTGTCGGGGAGTCAGCTCTGCGGATAGGGGCGTGGTGTAAAATGGCGTTAATTGGGCCGCACAAACTGGGTTCAAAATGGGGTTCTGTTTTGAGCAGTCGGTATAGTTTTTCTGCTTTTTTTTCTTCACTATCGAGTTACTCATTACCTTGTTTTCCATATAGAAACCTCTAACCCATTATCTGTGAATGCGAATAATCGCGGACTTTGCCTCTAGATGGCGATGCCCAGGGACCGGTTGATGGAACAAAGCTAGCTTTAGCGACTACTAAAGACACCACCATGGTCCCTTACTGATCGGCAGTTAAACATTTGAAGGGGGTGGGACCCCTTACTGCTATAGTTACAGAAATGTGTAATGACAAGAGTAGTTTGTGGGTGATAACGAACAATCAGCTGAGAACAGCGGGTCTGTTCTGCTGTGAGGAAGTGAGGAAACTAAGATTCACTTCACTTAACCGCATTCAGCCAATGCCTGCTGTCCGTAATCTCCCAGCTCTTCGCACGATTCTCCCTAGACAAGATTGGCAGAGCACTAGATGAAGGACAGAAATGCGAGCAATTCGGTTTCGAAAAGGATTCAGCACGGTCGACCACTTCCACAGTGTAGCGAACCTCAGTGAAGTGTCGCAAGGGCATGAGATATCGTAATGCTCTCACCTTCATCAGCTTGAAGGCTTTCGATTATCGAAGCCCTGGGCAACCAGAGCGCTCCCACCCCGTAAGCTAAGATTTTTCTTGAGCTTAACAGCAACTTTACGATCAGGATGCCACTCTTCTATAAGGAGGTCATCATTAAGGTGAATAGAGCCATTGGGCAGGGCGACTCCATTTCGCCCAGACCCTTCTTCAGAGCCGCTTTTAGAATCGTCCTATTTCAGTCATGAGCAGGTTTGTCTCTTTTTCTGCTCGCGGTATCCTGCCGTTTTCTGGTGCTGCTTCCGCTGACCTCAGTGAAAGAACCACTGCTCGTGCGTGAAGCGTTGATCTCAGGGAACTCAACTCAACAACTATCGTTACCACGCGCTATAAAGACTCTAGTGGGGGGAGGTAATGTCTGGACCATAACGATATTTGACCTTGCATGCCGCAATTCGACCTTCTTGTGATGAGTTCTTCAAGAATTTAATTGGTAACATGACAGAAAATTCGCCGACCTCGCTCAGCAGCTTCATGAAGGAATTTCACTCCGTCCTCAACAATAACAGTGTTAACTGGCGTTTCATGCAGCCCAAACCATTCATTCGCTATTGTCACCATGAGTGGGTCCAATTCAACTGTTGTGAGGTTCACCTGGAGTACTAACGGCAGGTTTATATGACGCTGTTAGTCCATGAGTTCACATTGTTGTAAGGATAGAAGAGTGCGAATGGAGCCTATGCGATGGGCTTTATAGAAGTGGTCGTCCACCGTGTGAGATATAATTTTGAGAAGTGCTCATGAGGCACGAACCCTTAGGGACTTGGCAGCACCGAAAAAGTTGCACACAGTTCCACCTCCTAAGCCGATCACAAGTACGTTTTGCCAATGCTGTGGATCAAACTGTAGTCCCTGCAAAAAAGAGGACTAATAATGAAGAAGAATATTCTATAAACAGGTATCGGCAAGATTTAGTTAGATTACCTCCATCACGAAACCCATTGCAATCATCAACTTTATATATACGAATTTAACCACTAATTTGTTAATGGACCATTGTTGTGTGTTGAAATTACTCCAAGTGAGTTCTATAACAGATGATAGTGGTCATGACTGAAAGAAAATAAAACGAGCTTATATCAGTTTGAATAATCCAAGAATGAAAATGTTGCGTTCGAGCTAGTCTTGTCGCTGCGGATGCCGGGGCGTGTCAACGGGGGAAGAGTGAGGCGCTTACCGCCGCGCCAATCCCTTTCCCACCAGTTGTCGACACTGGAAAGACACCATAACTGGTGGAAAACGGGCTGGCACCGCGCTCAAAGCAGTCCGTCCAATAGGCCTCAGCATCGCCAGTAAACAACATTGTATTTAGTCATATGAAAATTGAGTTGTGAGTTTCAGCTTCCCATGAGTTCCAGAGACATTTTCACTCATGATCCCCCTCTTGCAAGAATCTTAAAGAATTGGTACATCATCGACCTAGATTTTATTAGGATATCTGCTGCTTCATTCAGTTCTTCGATGATGGCTATGATTAGACTGAACCTTATTTGTCAATTTTGATGGTTCGATTGCAATTTTTAATGGAAACATACTCTCTGGTGTTTCCAGCTCAACTACGCTGAGAGTGAGGTTTTGAAGAGCTTCCTTGTACTTCAGATAGCGTCCCACAGTTAAACTGAAAAACTGGAACTGGACTCAATGTTTCATATGATTTCAATGACACATTGTTGACCGATTTCCCTTGGGCGCGAACGTCCGAGAAAATTTTGTCTTCTGCTAAGTTACTTTGAGCGCGCCTACGCGAGGCTCACCAAGCAACGCTGAAGCACCAGGGTACAGCATTGTGTAAAATGGCGGCACTGGTACGAGAAAGTACTCCCCCATATACCTATATACCACTTCTGAAAAGGAAAATAAACTTTTAAAAACCTAGCGTCCGACTCAAGGGTTACGGTAGCGTGCATGTTTTAGTGTAGTGTTGCGTAGAGCTCACGTCTCAGGGCACTTGTCAACCGAGGAAGCCTCTCCTCTCTTTCCTTTTTTCTTCCTCCCTCCTTCTTTTCCTTCCTTCCTTCTCTGATCCCTCCTCCTTTACCTTCTCCCTTCAACTACTGGACTGGTAGATGCCTCGTGAAAATAACCCTGGACCCTCGCAGCGAGAGCACGTCTGGTTGACAACAGCTTTTGCACCACGAAAATTGGGTCGCTCGTGATTTTTACGCGTTTTACCTTGCGAGATGGGATGAAGTTGACTGTATGTGCTGCTAATGAATAAAATGTAATAAAGGAAAGCAGAATTATTTATGGGCACGAGCGTGGTCAGCGAAAAGGACATGAATGCCGATTAATGCCCGCCGCCCAACAAAGAACAACTGAGCGGCTCTCCGTCAGAGGGCATCTAGCAAGTGAGGCGGTCCAACTGAGCGGGCGTTAGAACTAGAACTTTGAGCGGCTGTAGCTTGCTCCTCGCTCGTTGTGGAGTCGCGAGAGTGGGATAGTTTCTAGCTTGGGGGCTGTACTACTTGCACAGGAAAGGATGACCATGTACTACTTGAGCGCGGGGGCTGTCTTTAAATACTTCTGAAAATAAGTGCATAAGCCGCTCCGTGGTCTTCGTATAGAATGGACCTTTCAAGGAAAGACTGAAAGGCCTCCGTGTGCTTTTCTCTCTGTCAATACAGTGCGTAACAAAAGTATGTGGACACCTCAAATTTTGATTTTGCGAAGTTGCCTTTGGATTTTGCGATCTGAGACCATCACTGTTAGATTCCTCATAAGCGAAAGTATAGGAATGCACTACTTCTGAATACATTGTGAACTACTGTACAATTATTTATTGTTTTGAAAAAATTTCTTAATAACAAAAGTATGTGGACACCTGAGAAAGTTCAAAGTTTGACTCCAAATCTGCAACCCATATCTATCGTCTCTGCTCCCCATTAATCTGTACTCATGCCTCGTCGTGGCAGTACTCTCCGAAGACGAACAATCTCAGATTCGAGCTCTCAGTGCTGCTGGACACTCAAATAGAGAAATTGCAAGACAGCTCGGACGTTCGGCGACGTGCGTTGGTAAATACCTCCAGAATCCTGATGGCTACCATTCAGCACATATTTCGGGGCGTCCTCGATCTTTGTCCGCAAAAGACATCAGAAGAATAGCGCGGGTCGCCTCAAACTCCCCCTTTCTGTGAGACAGATCCATGCTGCAATTAATCTACCGGTCTCAAAAATGACGATATGGCGCTATATTCGATCAAATGAGCATATCACACGAGAGACCATGAAGAAAGCTCCTCGCCTGACTGCCCAACACCAGCTGGCGAGACTGAACTTCGCGCGTGCAAACATGGCGACGTCGTGGGACAAGGTGAAGTTTTTTGAGAAATTTGTAAAATCAGAAAGGCAACATCCCATGCGCTTTTCTTTCTTAGGTTATCTTCACCGATGAAAAAAAGTCCGATCTCGACGGTCCAGATGGATATCGGCACTACTGGAGAGACCGATCCATTGCTGTTCTCGAGGCGAAATTTCGGAGGCGGCTCTTTGATGGTGTGGGGTGGTTTTGGAACCAGCGGAAAGTTAGAGCTCGCCTTCCCATCGTGCCGTATGAACAGTCAGGAATATCAAGGAGTGCTCGAATCCAACCTCTTGCCTTTTCTGAGTGGGCCACGACCCAGGACACATGTGCTGCAGCAGGACAACGCCGCCGTGCATGTTTCAAATTCTACTAGAAAATGGCTCCAACGCAATGGTATCAAAGTGATTGATTGGCCGGCGTGTTCTCCTGACTGCAACCCAATCGAAAACCTGTGGGGAATCATCGACGAATTTACATGGACAATCGGCAGTACAACAGCGTGCGAGACCTGAAGGAGGCGGTAGTGGCTGCATGGGAGGAAATCGACGAAGACACTATCACAAATCTTGTCCACAGCATGCCAGACAGAATGTTCGAAGTAATAGTGAACGCGGGAGGGAGCACCAAGTTTTAATTTCCATGATACTTTTGTTTTTTGTTAAGTGTCCACATACTTTTGTTATTAAGAAATTTTTTCAAAACAATAAATCATTGCTCAGTAGTTCACAATGTGCTCGTAGGTAGTGCATTCCTATACTTTCGCTTATGAGGAATTTAACAGTGATGGTCTCAGATCGCAATATCCAAAGGCAGTTTCGCAAAATCAAAATTTGGGGTGTCCACATACTTTTGTTACGCACTGTATCTGATACTGCGATTAAATTTTAGTGATGAATCTTACTTGTTATCTTTCATAAGTGGTCGATCCTCAATAGCAAAGCACAAGTCTGATGAGTCCTCGCAATATGTTTCCATCAATCGCCGTTTCTTAGAAACCATCGGTGAATGAATTCCGTTATGCCTGCATCATAAACATTTGCTTACCTTCTTGAGTATGAAATTTATAATCTCCTGGGTTTCCCTCGCTTCACTCAAGGCGACTTTTGAAGCAGTGTTTTTCTTGGAACTGTTAGTGTAGAATATGCCAATGTACTGAAGAGAATTATACAGCAGTTTAGTTATGCGTACCGCTATGTTTCCACAGAACCTACTGGTGATTTTTAAACTATATCCGCATGAATTGTTTGCTTCATTTTTACTTTTGGCGCTGATCTCATGAGAGGAGACAGCGAGCTGACATATACTCGAAATCCCTGAGATGTAGGCGTTGCCGCATGTTTCAACTTAATCTGACGGCGTCTATGCTTCTGGTGAGATATTTTCATCTTGACAAAATTGATATCGTGTCCCTGTTCAACACAGAACAAGACGACAGTTGTCCCATATTGGAATATTCCACGAGTTACCAGTTCCGTGCCATGTTCAACTGCTGCGCCTACTCTGGCTCAGGGATAAGGAGTACAGAAGCGCCCCGCAACAGGTAGGAACCGCTATTGAGGGTGCTTGGCATACTTTTTTGCGCCCTGTGGATTAGTACGACCCGGTTTAGAATTAGAATACCAGTAATTATTGCCGCTTGCGCGACCAAATGCATTTGGCCTTTTTTCTATCATTAGGCATTCTTCAACGATATGATAAACGTTCAACAATCAGTCGGGAGGGGGAGGGTATGACAAGCGGCGGTTAAATGAGCCCCCTCCTTCTGGCTTGCTATGCCAATGGCGCTCAGCCAACGATCAGTATAGGGAAAAAGCAACCAATGGAGGAAACGCCGCAAGTGGGCCCATTCCATTTTTTCGCAACCACCTCAATCAACTGTACTATAAAACGGCTTACAGTAGCGACTCCTAGCACAATCAACTGCCATGAGAATTTCCATAGAAGGCTTAATATCATCTGAAAGAGATTCACATATTCAAAATTGCATTTGTTGCGTTCTAGTCATCCTTAGTTCCAACGAATTCCCAATAGAGTATCTTACAGTGACTGAGAACAACACAAGTCTAACGATATTCTCATAGATCGTGTTTCGCACTGTGAAATGGCAAAATATGAATGACCGTCAGAGATTCCATAAAAGGATACTTGTTCTGAGGTGAATGGATCAATAGCTGTAAATTACGAACTATTTTTTTAGCTCTCAATTGCCAGCTCGAAGCCAGGTGGTCTATGAGTTGAAAGTGGGTAATGGAAGCCTTACGGTCCGTCACCAAAATAATCTGTAACACCAAATAACACCTACTAGGTCGGCAGCGGCCAGTGCTTCTATTTTCTGGAAAGGAGTCGGTAAATTATGAATAATCACCATCGAACTAATGTTGTGGTCAAGGAATGTTTCCGGGGACAGAAATTCAACACAGGAGCCGTTCAAAGTAGTCTCGTATCGGGGTGATTTAGCAACAACGAAGGGATTTAGATAATTTGAATAGGCACTGTACATTTAGTTACCATCTATGCCTTTCAGTTACCATCTATGAATAACTGATGGGACAATGTTGAGAAAATAATTACTGATAAAAAAACTCAGAAAAATAGGAAAAAATTAAGAGAATGATTAGTGATTACTTCTTGTTCCTCAACCTAAACAAAGAACTTCGTGAGAAGCGTATACCTGACGATGAAGAGCTGAAGGCGGCAATTAACGCACATTTTGGGGACAAGGAAGACAAATATTTTTAGACCGTATTGGAAAGATACATCCCCGAGCAAGAAATGTATTGAAGTTATGGAGACTAACAATGAAAATAATATTATTCGAATGTTTAGTTATTTCTGCCAAACGAGGTTTTTAGATAGAACCGTTTTATTGGCCCGACGTTTCGACCTTCTCGTCTTCTTCAGAGGCCTGAAAATGGCTCGAAGCTTTCAATTTGTCACCTACCCGATCAAGCGCCTCCCCACTCTAGCGTTTCCGACGTCGTGTTCCGAAACCCCCGAAGAACCCAGCAATAACCGCGCTCAACTCACCGAGGTTCCACCGTGCGGAGCCTAGCTCACGCTATGTGTCAGTAATGTAAGTAAGAGCGAATGAGTCTCACTAGAGTCTCATCGTGTCACATAAGCCAAAATTGTCATTGTGCACGTCGCCGCCCCTACTGTCAGACTCGCAACTCTGATACACAAACGGCAAGAACTCATTAGTAATTGACGGACATTCGTTTCGGCCGTTCATCCTTGGTTTTCTCGCAAAGATCCAAAACGATTCCAGGGCTTTCCTGGAAGAAATCTCTGTCTCGTACCCGAGTATAGTACAGCTCACATCAAAGTCATTCCCGTTATGCTCCTCAATCTTATGCTTGCCAAGAGGAGTTGTCATCATATCACGCCTCTTCCCAGCTAGGTGTTCCTTGACGCGAGTAGCTAAGTCCCTTCCTGTTTCCCCGATGTACGTGCTTACAAGCCCTGCATTCAAGTTGGTAAATTACCACCAGCCGGTTTTCTCACAATCTCTACTTCTTCCAATGATGGGCAAATAACGCAACCGTGGTGTATGCACTGCCTATCGTACAGTCTATTGCGAACAAGTTGGCGTTTTATGTTGCTATTGGGAATGCTCACCAAGACAACATCATCCTGCAACTGTGCTCTCAATATGCGACGTATTTCAGTTGTGCTGATGTCATCGGAAATAAACGGAAGGCACAAGGGTAGCTTTCCTTGGCGTGATACATGTCGAAGGCTGGCATTCGATGCTCTACGATATGCTCGTACCGCATAACCATTTTCTCCAGCAACTTTCGAAGCTAGAGCTCTCGATTCCTGTCGTTCTTCCTCGCCTGTGCACATCCTGGTTGCAGTCGTGATCATGTTCCTGATGACTGCACGTTTTACTGCAACAGGATGTGAAGACGTTGCGTGAATCAGGATATTCTTACAGCTGGGTTTGTGACTTGAATGCAGGGCTTGTAACAGCACGTACATCGGGGAAACA